TGAGTAAGACTCAAAAGGATTGGGATTTGAAGCTAGCACATGCAGAGTTTGCTTATAATAGGTCACCGTCTTTTGCTACAAAGCATTCCCCATTTGAGGTTGTTTATGGTACAAATCCAATGCTTCCAATTGATCTGATTCCTTTTCCAAAAGAGGAGATTACTAATATTGACGCACAAAATAAATCGGAGGCAATGATTAAGTTACATCAACAAGTCAGAGAAAGAATTGAGCAAGTTAATGAAACTTATAAAAAAAGAGTAAACAAGCATAGAAAACAACCCACTTTTCAAGTTGGTGATCTTGTTTGGTTGCATTTGAGGAAGGAGCGTTTCCCTGACAAGCGTAACAATAAGTTAATGCCAAGAGCTGAAGGTCCTTTTCAAGTTATTGAGAAAATTGGAAGTAGTGCTCACAAGTTAGACTTACCAGGTGACTATGGTAGTGTTAGTGCCACTTTTAATGTTGGTGACCTATCTCCATATCTTAGTGATGATGTATTCTCGGAATTGAGGACAATTCCTTTCGAAGAAGGGGAGAATGATGCGGGAGTTTTAGAGGGTCAAGTTAGTCAAGCGGTCGATAAGGCTATATCTCTTACATGTCATCCAAGTAGGCTTCTATTATCGTTGGATTGGATCGTGGCCTTCTCAGAGGGTCGTTTTGGGGATAGAGTAGGAACGGATCTTAATTTGGTTGTACTCCAATGGGACGACATTGGAGAGAAGGTAGAATAAATTAGAGTAGTAGTTTTAGCTTACTTTTAATTAATTATTTAAGAAATATAGAAAGTTAATTCCTATTTGGGTTCTTAGTAATACATTGGCAACTTGTTGCCTACTAGCTATAGAGTCCTAGTTATATTGGGTTTATAATTAGTGTTTAGTCTAGTTGTCCTATTAGGAGTAGGAATCTTATATCGGTTACTCTAGTCTATAAAAGGCCATTAGTTTGTAATTTTTATTCATAATTGAAATAATAGTTTTCTTGAGTTTATTATTGCAGACTTACGAATTAAGTTTGTTTGTTCGATCCGTTTGATTGAGCAAGCTTGGTTTTGATCCGATTGATCAAAATCTAGCATAGGTTTGTGTTAGCTCCGTTTGAGTTTAACATTGACCAAAAGAAAACCCTCATCGTTTGGGTATAAACGCATCATGTTTGGACAAGCTTAAAAACACATTTTTAATTAAAAACTCGAACCCAACCCGAAAAAGTCTACTTTAATTAGTTTGGCAAGTCCGGTACTTTTTGTGAGTTTGGCCACAAGATATGATGTTAAAGCTCGGCCCGACCCAATTTTTCTTTTTATCACCTCTAGATTATGTGAAACAATGAAAAACAATTTAAATCCAAAACAAAACTCTTTATGCAGGGAGTAGGTGATTTATGAAAATCCAAAAGCTTTTTACTTAGTATCAAGTTTTGCATCTCTTTTATGCTTGTGTATAATTAGACCTTTGTAGGTATTGTGTCATCACTTACTCTAGCACCCAAAGCTTACTATACGCAAGAACTCTTGATCTTGTCTCACTTGTGAGTACCCTAACTAGTTTGGCAGTCACAACTCACCGGTCCTAATTAGCCACCTTTGTCGCCGAATGACAGGAGTGTCGCGTCCCTTAAGATTTAGACGTCTTCTTGTGTTGCTTTGTGCTCACAAGCCTTATTTTCGCACAAGACTTGCCAGAGGGAAATAGTATGTCGTACGATCTAATATCTAAACACTCAGATCGTTGGTATCAAAGGTGAAAATTGAACCTCTTCATAGCCGTCAACTAAGAAACGTGCGAGCATCCTAGTAAGCACTACTCAGATATGGAAACAAGCAAAGAAAGAATATGTTAGCTTAAAGGCTAGTCTGAACAATGGGCCCAATCGAGCAAGTGATGATCAAGCAATAAAAGCAAATTGATGAGTCACGAGTATGGTCAACGAATTAGTGCAAGAAATAGCCATACTTTTTAAGCAACTGAACTTAGCAAAAGGCGAGCCAAAGACATTAACAAACATGCGAATTTAATGTGATGTGGGCAGAGATGGTGGTGTTGATACAATAAGGATCAAACCTCCCGAACTCGCAACTATAGTGGTACGGTGTCAGAGACGCAAAAGACATGGAAAGCTTCCTCTTCGAAATAGAGCAATACTTTCGAATTCATCATCAATTGAGGGGTGATTTAAAAGTGGATACTAGGATCATGTACTTGTCGAATGATGCTAAGATGTGGTGGCACACACTAAGCACGATTGCATTGAACAAAGAAAGTTGAAAATATATATATGGGCGTAATCATAGAAGTAGCTTAGAGTTTAAATTTACCCTGAGGGCATTGAATTGTTGCTCAAATATAATTAAGAAAAACCCACCAAAAGGGCTCGATTTGCGACTATGTGAAGGAATACTTGGCGATCATGTTGTATATTCAAGACATGTATGAGAAGGATTGGTTGTTCACCTTCATCAATGGGTTACAAGAATGAGAGCAACACGAAAAGGTTGATATTCTATTAACTGTCATGATTGTTGTATAGAGACCAATGGACACTCTGTTGAGAGATCTCATCACTCCGAGAGAAAAGACCAATGGGACGTCTATACATACACTCCGAAAGAAACTCTCCGTAGGAAACCCGAGAAAGCAGTCTCCAAAAAGAAATCTAAAGAAGAAGCTCCCTAGAAGTTGTTCAAGAAGCATAGCATCTGATTAAGAGGATATAGGTAAAAGTAAAAATGCTTATTTTGAGAAAATAGGGGAAAAGGTTGGCTCATTCCAATATTACGCAAAGATTAGCTTGTTTTGAGTAGTAGGTCACGCAAAGGTGAGATTAATTTTTTTTTTCAATTTTTTTCCATTTTGAAAAATGTCAGAGAGATCTTTGGTACAACATTTAAGAATAAATATAATGTTTCACATACTATTTGGGAAAATACCGAAAGAGAATGATAGTAGAGTGAGATAATGGTTAGAGCCCACATCAAATGGCTTGAAAGAGTTCGATAAGTGAAATTCCACCAAGGCAATTATTAAAGCAAAAAATCGCTAAAGAGACAACATTTGGTTAGGATGTCGATAACTAGATCAAAAGAGATTGCAAGATATAAATGATAGAAATAAAAAGAAGATAGACACGATATGGTGACGCCGAAAACCCCAATGAAGGTGGGTAAAAACCGCAGGTGACTACTAGTCCACCAATTCACTATGATACGAGCGTTATAGCCATTATTGATACAAATACAATGATTATTCGGGCGACTAAGGCCGTAGATAGTAAAAAAAAAGTATATAAAAACAAGAGATAAGTATACATTAATGCTATTGAGAAGATATATAAACGTTGGGTCCATCATGGATACTTGTAGAACAATCGGATGAGACATGTCGTCGTTTAGATCTTCGAACGGAGCCTCATGATGTGTCTTTTGAGAATGTATTCTGTAATGTATTCTTTTGTGGTGTTTTATGCTTGGAATAAGTTGTGTATGATATGCCTTTATGGCTGGTCGTTGCTCCCCTTTTATAGGCCTTTAAGTGGTAAAGCATTGGTTGAGGTAGACAATGGTGACTTCCTTGATTCTAGAAAGTAGTTGGTTGACTTCAAGACTTGGTCCCTTTATATAATGTAGACTTGTTTAGGCTTCATATTCATGATAAGAACCTCGTTGAATGGTTAAATGATGGTAGATATGCTCTCCTTATTTATAGGAACCACTAGTAATAGCCATGACTTGTTTCGCAGCATTCTTGCGTTGCACTACGATATGCATCCTGTTTGGACGTTGGGTGTCAGCGTCGTGCGTCATCTTCTGATTTCATCTAACAGTGTCGCGTTAAAGGTCACCAGAGGTTGTCCGAGGCCACTGAAGGTCGACGGAGTTCGTCGGGTGTCAAGTATTGACGTCCGTCACTAAGATGTGTCGTCAATAAGATGTGTCATTGACGTTTGTTGCTGTTTGGACATGGACATAGTCTTCTTGGCATTCTCCATCTAATTCAACCTTGAACACGAGACTCGTCTAACACGCGACTATAGGACAATTAGTTGGGGAGTTATCAGATTATAGAAATAATTATTTAAGGTCGGATGGAATAATATTTTTTAGATTGTAGATGGTTGTTGCCTTGTTGGGCCATGACCCTCATGGGCCGAGTTCTATTATTGGGGTTTTCAATCTTTAGTTCAAGTCTTATTGGACTTGATCAATAGGAGGCCCAAAAAGGGGCCGAAACAAACAAAGCATACTTGATCCAATATCATAACAAACCTTCAATAATTTAGCCATAATCTTATCTACATCCAGAGTATATTATGGAGTAACAGAGAATGTTCTGTATCTAAAATGCTAAATTACTTATCAGGACAAAGTAGATTCTAGACCAGTTGATTTTTTCTTCAGGTTCAGAGGAATCTAATGCGAAAGACACTCGTTTTCAGTTAGTTTTGCAACTTTTGCTGAAGTTAATATTGTGGACCAGTTGTATATGGATCACAATATGACTGGCTAACTTGCTTAATAAGCTGAAGATGTTGAGATCATAACGTTCACAAAGGCAGAAGATGAAGCGTAAGGAACGTTCAATTCACTAATAGGGAGAATTAAGCCACAAGTAACCGTCGAATAAGGTAAGCTCGAGGTACTGCTAGTTGAGTCTGCAACATCCAAAGGGAACACTGCAGTAAGAACAAACTGAGACACGAAGCAAGAAAAGACTAATAGCATTGCTTAGGAAACACTACCATTGGAAAATGGCTGCAGAAGACCTTATGTTCTCACAATGTATACAGTTTGCACATTGTTTTGGTCAAGAACACAAATTTTGTACGCAAGATCCACTGACTGCATTATAAGAGGCTATAAGAATTTCAAATTGTAGCGATTATATGCCGAATTAAACTCAGATTGAATCAGAACAAAGTTGAATGCCTCATTTCAATCTAAGGATGATAGATAAATTAAAATTCTGAAATCTATAATCTGTTAAGTAAATACTATCTCGCATTAAATTCCGTCCAAATTCATCTAATCATGCAAAATTTAGCTGTTTACAACAGGCTGTGATAAAATAAACAGAGGAAGTTCTGCAATTGAAACTTGAACAATGGAACCTGTGATTAAGATGATGATAGCGATGATTCTAAGAAATAAAACAAGTCTTAAAAAATAATCAAGGAAATTAAGATACATAAATCTGGTAAACAGACTAACTAATTCTATCAAAGCCTGAATCAATTAGCAAGCCAACTCATTTACAATAAAGACATAATTAGATAAAAACCTTAGATTAACAATGAAAAAAAAAAACCAAAATGAAACTAGACCATAAGATAGATCAGCAAACGAGCAATCGAAAACCGAATCGCAATCAGAAATCACAATCAACATCAAAAGCATCATCCATCACTTCTCCAAGAACAAGTCCACCAATAGCTCCTCCTAATAGACCAGCTCCCAATCCCATTCCCATTCCACCACTCTTCTTCGGCTTCTGTGGTTTTTGCGCATACCCACCTGCAGGAGGATAAGCAGGGTATCCACCAGGTGGAGGATACCCTCCAGATGGAGGGTACCCATATCCGGCATTAGGCGGGGGTGGGTACCCTCCATACTGAGGGTACCCCTGTGGTGCAGCAGAGTATGGAACCCCAGTTCCATGCGACTGCTGTGGAGGGTACTGCTGCGGAGGGTACCCTCCTGGTGCACCAGCTGCAGCATATGGGATTCCTGCTGCAGGAGGTGGTGCCTGCGAATGCGCAGGAGGGTACCCTCCTGCATGATGTGGTGGAGGGTACACATCGCCATACCCTCCACCGTACCCTCCAGGTGGAGGGTATGGCGCAGCAGCAGCAGCAGCAGAACCCGAACTGCTGCTGCATGACTGCGCAGGTTTATATTCACCTTTACCATAAGAACCCATATTGTTAACATCAACAAACTTATATGACAACTTAAGTTCCCCTTGTGCCTTTTGCGACGAAACCCTCTTAACCTGATAAGTTACAAGCTGAGAACCACTAGGATCCTTAACACCATCTAACAACTCTTTCAAAGGTACAAGAACTTCCCCTAAATCTTTATCAGCACCAAAGGTATGCTCATGCTTCAAGGTAAATACAACATATTTACCCGGCTTCGCAGCAACAGCATCATCAATAGTAAACCTAATCGTATAATTCCAAGCCGGGTTCGTGCCACCATCTTGATGCACCGGGGTTTTTTGCTTGTTTTTTGGATCATCAGATAGGTGAACCACAACATAAGGATCCATCTTGCCTATAAGATTAACATTCTTAAGATCTTTTGCAGAAATCAGAGTGATTTCCAAGGTTTTGTAAACCATTTTTTTTTTTTCTATAATCTTCTGCAAATGCAAAGATGAACAAATTTGATAGAAACAGATAGAGTAATAATAGATAGGATAGATGAACAAAGTTGTTGACTTTCTGAAAGTTAGAAAATCAGAGATAAAATCGATGAAACACACGAAACGTTCTAATGCAGGCGTTTAAATAGATAAACAATTATAACGGGCGTACGCGTTTATGACGCGTAGAAGTTTTGAAAGTTTTTTTCTTAGTAAAATAAATAAATAAGATAAAACAAATACTAAGTCATTATCTTTTTCGAAATAGTGGGTCACAGGAAAATTCAAAGTAAAGTCATCTTTATTTACAGAGAAGACACGCAAATTGCCTAGTTGCTTCTAGTTAATTAATGGCAAAAATATCCCCACCCAAAATATGGACCCTAAAAAGAAGAATAGAAAAAATAAAAGTAGCTACAAAAAAAATTGAAAAGAATTTCTGGATAAATTATACTCCGTTGGTTGGAACTTTTGGAAGTAGAAAAGTATAGGATATTTTGGACCAAACTAAAAATGATAGGATATTAACAAGCACATCATTATTCTATTTTTAAAGATTATGCTCAGTAATCATCATGACAACCCAAAACAGGTGTGGAGAATCATGAAGATATTTAGTGGAAAGTGGTTAATTTGTAGGCTAAATGCATTACATGAACTTTCATGGGTGTCTTTAAACTATTTTATGTAGACTCGGTATCCATATCCGACACGGATACATGTTCAAATGTCCAACTCGACTATTTAATTTTAAAAATTCCATAATTTTAAACTAAAAAAGAAGCATCCGAGTGTCAAGTGTCCCGACGTAGTCACACAAGTACTTGAGGTGAAATAAGAATTCGAGTACCATAACTTTAAGAAAAAATGCCCCATCAAATTAGAAACCCACACAAGTCAACCCAACTCACTTAAATGGGATAGACACTTTAAGAGTTATAGGAAAAAAAGGTAAGGGATCCCCTAATATCAAATTATCCCCAATAAAGATTGAATTCTAATCTCATGGTTAAAAGGCGCAATTTTTTTCCACTAGTCAAGCTTAACTTGGTGAGTCTTATTCTTCTATTACTTCTTATGAATCCAAAATATTGTGAAATGAGGTGATGTAGCTAATGATGATTCAAAGTATATTTAATGAAAACATATACTTGTACAATATTTGTACACAACAGGTAAATCTTTTTCATAACCCTACAAAAGAGAATCTACTTGTTCTAATACAATTCAAAACAACACATTGAGAAACCAAAGGGCTAAGAAGAGGACAAGATCAAAATAGCTTGATCACCAAGGACTTGTGACATTCATTCCACTAGGGGAACAATTGATGGCATATTAACTTCATCTGATGTTGTGTCTTGAATCTGATATCTTCTTCAAAATGGATATATATTCGAGATAGAACATTGTGAATCAAGTATGGATTTGGGAAAAGTACAAGGTCAAAATTATGATCTCTCCACCCTTTAGGACCTGTACCTCTTTCCTGTCAATAAATTCACAAAAACATTATACTTCATCATTTACGTTCATGAAGGGATCTAATCAAAGTCACATACACAGTATAGTTTGTTAGGGTGCTACACAGTACAGTTCATTTGTGTGCATCTATGCATTCATTAGCGGCTTAGCGCAGAGTAGGAAACTTCTTTATAGCAAGGCCAAGCGCCTTTCTACGTTGCAACACAATTCCCTCGAGAGAACACTTAAATAATCCCACTTCAGAAGCAAAGCCACACAATATGAGCTTTGTGCTTGTCACTTCAAGCCTAATTGCAGTTATATGGAAACCACACTAGAGGCCTTAAATATTTCTCACAGATCCACAATATCCTGAGTGACCGTGTGTTCTTGCTAAATTACTTAAAGTTCTACGAAGGCCCCACACTGTCAACTTAGGAAACTCGAATTGTCAGTTGTGATTGTGGGCCATATAGTCCAACACATAATGCATAATGGACCTATAAAAGTAACAGCCAATTGCCATGAATACTTAACACTACAGCAAAAAGACATCTTAATCTTCCATCTAAAAGAAAACGTGTAGTGAAGCTACCACTACATATAAAATTATACAGCACCAGAATACAAGCAATAATTATGCAAGGAAAATGACATCAATACTTACCAAGGTGGATAGATACGGATTAAGTTCCCTACTTCCAGGTTGACATCACCACAAACCCTCGAATTAAAGATGATGGTCCAAATCTTCCCAAAATTTTCCTGTTGAGGTTGAGGGTTCTGAAGTGAACTCTGCAGAAATTTTAGCAAATAAAAAATGATTAGGCTGCCAGTTCATTTGACATCCGATGCATATAAATTACAAGACAACAAGCCTACAACCAATGAACAGTCCTTCCCAACACAACAAAATTCATAGTCAAAGGACAAAAAATGAAAGAGAAGATGGAAACAATACACAAGGAATTCCTACAAAGGGGGGAAAGAGAAGTGACTAGAATAGTAAAAAGACCATAATCAGAAATAACCTCTTCGTTTTCAATAAGTGAGCAACTGCAAACACTAAGTTTTGCATCAAAGAATCTTGATAATATCTTCACATCAATGCACCTTGCTTCATCTGAATGCAGTAAAACAGGAAAAAACTGAGCCAGGTTTCTGGGCAAAGGGACATTAAATCGCCAAACAAAAATGTAATTTCTCAAATTTGTTACTTACAACGATTACATAGGACAGACCACACAAAAATTGTTCAACAAAAAAACTCATAAATTTGAGTACTATTCTACAGTACATTTCTATCACCTTTCGGCCAAACTTCATTCTGCACCTTCTTCAAGAAATCACCATCTTGTTCCTTCTGATGTTGCATTATATGCTGCAATCTTCCAAAGAGCCCAGTACTGCGCCACTCAAACACATGCACAAAAGCTCAGGGAGCAGGTTGGAATAAAAACCTTCCATGGAAGGAGTTTATCAAGATTCACCTGTTTTCAACACTCACCTAGATTGTTTCAGTGTTGTAAAGGAAGGTCTTTTATCTACCACTGAAGCACAATCAAAGGCTTCCTGAAATTTGTCTGCCATTGATTTCCTTCCAGATTCTACAATAGCAAGTGCTAAATTTTGAGCATTGTCCTAAACAATGAATGAAGATCTTATTTTAACAGCAGAAAGTTATCTTAATGGTCTATAGAAAACATATTATAATCAGTGACTACATAAAGATACCTCATTGTCTGTTGATGATCCACTATGCATAACCTCACAAGGGTCTTCATCACTTACTAAATCCTTGCCAAGCAAAGTCATGCTTCTGATAACAGTGCACTTTCCTCGTCCTTTTCTCCTACTACCCTGTAGCAGATGGTTTATCAGACTGACATGAGATAAAGAGCAATCAGAGGGGATTATAATATGTATGTATAATAATATGTAACCTTTTTTGGCTTAAAGATTGGATTGCTGGTATTTCCCTGGAGATTGTCCAAAAGTTCAGCCATAGACCGTCTATGATTATCATGTTCTATAGCTGCTTCCAATGGCAATGCAAGACTTGATGTCCCAGCATCACTACCTCCAAGGAGTACAGGACAAATCTTATCAATAGGCTGATATCCACTGGGCTCAGCTTTATCAAGTATCTCATCATCACTGGATGAATTGAGATCCTTATCTTTCCAAACAGACCGCAGATCTGCTTGTTTTTGTAGCTGTAAAGATGAAGATTTTTTCTTGATTTTACATCTTCCACCTGCACCAGGTCAAATTAAACTCTTGCAGTTCCAGTAAACATGCAGAGCTTATTACATTTCACAGGCTAGACTGACTCAATCAATTTCTTGTAAGGTTAAATAAAGGCTTCAAGGCTTAGGTTCTTAACTTAATAAGAATTCTAACAAAGTTTTGCAATTAAGCCCTAAAATGATAAGGTTTAACAATTAGGAAGACCAGTCTCTAAGTTTTGCATTTAACATAGGATGACAAATGCAGGAAGATAGACATCTCTACTGTGTTACAAGATGATGAATCAAAATTGCAAACCTAGCATGCTCTCTAACTTTGCTTTCACTTTCTAATCAAAATTAGCTTTAATCCCATAAAGATAGAGATAACTACAAGAGCCAATATGCCATTCCAATCACTATCTCATGTAAGCCCTCCTCCATTTTCAATTTCCCCAAAGAAATATCACGAAGACCCAATTTTTTCAGTATATTTGCCCCTTCCAACCTAATTTATCCTTGATTTACCCCATTTACCGTATCTCCATTATCTCAACTCTTAAGTCTTCAAGCTGGTGCCGCTTAATGTTGGCATTTAGTATTTACCATTGTAGTCATTTTTCCCACATAAGATGCCTCTTTGACCCTACAGCAAATATCTTCATCACATATTATAACACTTTCAAATCACCACACAGCCATGTCAACTTACATACCTCCAGATTTATCTTCCATAAGAAATATATTTAAATAGATTAGCATTACAACCCATATAGCAAAATTGTTTGAAAAGCAGTGCCACAACTTTTTTTCACCTGCAGAGACATGTTACAATCACATAGTATTCTGCAATCTGCAAGCTCCTCCATTTGAACCAGCCAATCTTGATTTTGTACCAAACATAGGTCAATATCATTATCAGTTTTAAGTATCACAATAAATATAAATCACTCATTTTTAGGTAACTAACTCCTTCACACTGTCTAGATCAGGATCCTCCTAAATACTTGATTTTTGCATAATTCAATTAAATAGCTAGCCAGTCAACAAAAAAAAAAAAAAATGTTCTCCAGATGTTTTTGAGATTAACACTGCTTAGCAACATGAAATTAGAGCAAAACGCTGGATTGAAGTAACTGCCTGCTGAGCGCTGGCTAATTAATGCATTGAATCATGCAAAAATAAAGGTGTCTCATTAAACACATAAATGAAAGCGCACCAAGCATCTGCAGAAGAAAAAGGAGCATGATTATATACAAGATACTACCCTTACCAAGATTCTTGTTTTTTGAATTAAACGGATGGCATGTAGACCATCTGGCCCTTTCACTTAGTTGATCCATTCTTCTCGCCTCTTTGTCAACCTCAGAAGATGTGCAGGGCTCATATTGTTTTTCATTTCCTTTGGTATAAAGATCGAGCATCTCAGATACATTATTCCCTTCTTTGATGGATTTGGAAAAAATATTCCTTCCTTTCTGACAGAAAAAGCAAGTCAAAAGTATGTCCCAATAAGTTGATAGGTGCCATTACAAGATCAACAGTAGAAATGACATGGTAACTCAGCAGAGACGTTATATTAGCATATTATCACTTGTCAGAACGCATCACAACAAAAATTAAAGCAACAGTGTACCATATACCTTAACACTAGAAGTCCTCTCATTTGGATCACAAGTCGAACCACCAGCTTTTATGATGATTGAGTCACATTCAACATTATTCTCGCAACCAAGGTTCCTCTTGTAAAAATCTGGTGCTTCCACCTCATCTTCAGACAAGAAGCCTGAATCCCTCTGATAGAATAGACTTTGTTATATACAGCACAGCATTCGTAATATCCATGTATACACAATATAATAGCTGAGAAACAAGTTCATTCAGATATATGTTCAGCTGCCTTCCACAAATATATTCAACTTCTGGCAACTCCTTGCTTTGCAGGGTGTGGATATGAAATATTTTAGCTCTAAGGTCTCCATAACTGCGGAAAGTTACACAGTGATGAACATCTCAAGCAATAAACACCAGGAAGGCAGGAACCCGTTCATTAGGTCATCAAGTCCATGGAGGAAGCCTGTACACTTGATGGATTGCCTTTAAACTAAGAAAACAGAGTAGCTTTATCGTTGGTCGTTCATAATTTCAAATTTACCTGGCATAAACCTGTACAAGAGACACTAGTTCTATAAACATCAGAATTAATGGATTAATAGCTATACCTAATGACCTAGCATAAATGCAAGATAACTATAGGGTAAGGATACAGCATACAAAATATTAGATTCCATCTGAATTGGCAACACCACAAACACAGAACTCAAAAGAGAATATCATAACAGGTCGCAAGTTCCACTCGCGCCTCTATCCCCCGCCCCCCACCACTACCTACCAGCTAAAAGGAAATTCTACCAAGTTTTTTCTCTATCATTACTGGCATACACAAACAAAAGGAAAAGAAATCACATATATTTATGGGATAGATTGGAAGGCAACCTAGTCCTAGCCTAGCTCAAAGCAAGGCCTACTTCAGAAATTTGTCAGTGTTACAGTGGGGTGGATGGATTGAGAATATAATCTCCCTTGCATCCCAAAAGAAGGTCATATAGTGTTCATATAATAGGAGAACTAATTAACAGAATAATTTAGGTAATTCACAATGACAAACAGTCTCCTAAACAAGTGTACGAATAATTGGTCAAAATTCATAACAGAGAGAATTCAATGCTTTCTTTTAACTGCAAAAGGTGTAAACTAAAGAGGTAGTTTTCAAAACAACTTCCAGGAACAAACAAGAGCTTCACGATCACAAGTTGAAGAAAACTACAGCCATGCAAGTGAACTGGCATAACAATAAACACAAAAATCAACACACTTGAGAACAAAGATACATCAGAAATAGAAAGAAATCAAGACAATGTCTGAGAATACCTTTGAGTAACTCAAGTTGTGATGCAACTCCCAGGCTTTTCTGAAACAGAGAAAGTATATGCAGTTTTTCAGAATATATAACCAAAACTAAACTCTTTATCCTTATACAAACTTTTTTGTTTTAGTTTTTGAAGGAACCCTTATACCAAATTGAAAACTCTTATTTATCATTTAAATTAGCATGTTCTGCATCATGCACAAAGAGCTTCCATTGGAAAATTAAGTGTCCACCACTTAATTTTTGTTTATACAATTCTAATTCATAAATTAACCCCTCAATCTTTAGTTTTTATGTGCATAAGGCATTATTCCATTGTACAAATTAGAGTAAGTAGTTATTAATTCCATTTGCTGTGCTGCACAATAAGCTACATTAACAGATGTCTCGTTATCAGCATGACAATACTAATAACTAGTATAATCATAAAGGCACCCCTTGTCACATTTACTAAGCATATGGTTATTCTTGTTAACTCATATAATCTAAACCACCCTCAGATGCTTTTCTCACATTCTTTAGCGACTAAAACTACACATCCATCAAGCTACGACATGTCTTGAATGATATAACCTCAACACTAAAAGGACTAAAAGTTCTTTTTCACAACGAGTAAAGAGAAGTTTATCCCCTTTAGGGCCTTTACACAATGTCTTACTTTCTTAATCCGCATTATCCCAAACACACCAAGGTAAGGATGCCTACTTCCAAACCATCTCAGACCCGCCCCTCTACACAATGTCTCACTTTCCACATTCCACAACTTCTACCTTTACATTATTTTTCAATTACTCGAATTCATATTCGCAAGACATTCACTAGCACATTGTTATAGTAAAATTCATGCCAACACTCAAGAACTATATCTTAACAAGTATAATCTCATACAACAGCAGATTATCTACTCACAAACCATAATTAACAACATTAACCACTTAGAAATAATGTTACCTTCTTACAATCCGACGTTCCGGCTAACGAAACGCAGTTCTCCGACCATTTACGACCTTGCTCTTCTTCATCATCATCGTCTGTACATAATTCAATAAAAATGGTAAAAATAATTCGAAAATTGTACTCTATATTAGTTTGATTTCACATTCAAATATGAATTTTAAAGCGGACTTACCAGAAATACTTTGATCAGAATCATGAATCTCCTAAAAAATAAAAATGAATTATCGAACTGAAAACAATAAATTACAAGTAATTAAGTGCAAATTCAAAGAAAAAAATAATGACATGAGACGAACAAATATTACCGAAAATGAATTGTGTCGCCACATTGAAAATCTGAGGACCCTAATTTGGTGGAATTTGCGGTTGCTTGTTGCAGTGATGAATTTGGGTCGAATGTTGATGCTCTTTTCAACCCATTAATTTCTTTTTTTCAGTCGCAAGTACTCAAATATTCTGACTGGAGTTGCCGATAGGTCCGGAGAATGATAAGAGTGACCCTAAGGGTTAGCAACCTTGTGATGCGGAAGCAGTTGTCAACATAATTTTGCTTTGTTGGATTTTTTTTAAAAAAAAAAATTCAAAATCATATGGAGTGTTAAGTCCTATGCTAATTAATAATCAACTAGCCTTCTGGCCCATATTCATATAAAATTGCATTGATAGATAATTGAGGAAATTTCACTTAATCATTATAGGGTATAATATGTAATCGGAAATATGATTAAAGAAATTAAAATTTTGGAATTTTAATCGAAAAAGAGGCTTAAATAGAAGGTGGAAGGACTAAAATTAAAGAGAGAATAGGAAAAGGTTGAATTAAAGGGGGGAGATGAAGATGAAGTGTGTATGAAAGATTAATAGGTTGAATTATAAGTTTAATGAAAAAATTAAAAAAAAAAGGAAAAATACACTTTATTAATCCCTACTATTGCCGATTTATTTCTAACAATCCCAACTAAAGTTTATTTTTTAACAATCCTAACTATGCCCTTAGTTTTCCTCCAACAGTCCCAACCGGTCAACAACCTATTGTAACAGGTACCATGACACGTGTCAACACGTGATTGGTTCAAAATTAAAAAAAATTAAAATTTTAAAACAAAAAAATAAAATAAAAATAAAAACCCAAAAATTCCCAACCACCTTCTCCACCGCAAAACCCTAGCTGACTGCCTAACATCGCCGGCGGAAACTCAACGACCACCACCCTTACCCATCGAACATCGTCGACCTAACCTCAACAACCCTAGCTGGCCCAATCCCGACCCCCGAAACCACCTACCCAACCACCCTGTTGGACTTTCGTTGGACTTGTTGGTGGTTTTGGGAATCGGGATGACTGGGAAGGTGGTTTCGGGGGTCGAGGATAGGTCACCTAGGGTCGTAAACGTGAAATCGGCTGGGTTCGATGGTTAGTGGGGACGTGTGGCTATTTTCCGGTGAGTTTATGTGGGTTTCGCAGTGTGGGGTTAGGGTGTTGCGGTGGTTAGTGGAGAAGGTGGCTGGGTGGTTTTGGGGGTTGGGAGAACCTGTCGGCCATTTTCGGGGTGGGGGGAGGTGGATGGGTGGTTTTGGGGGTTGACCGGCCGGTTTCCCGATTGGCTAGCGTTTGGTTGGTGGTTTCCGGTGGGCTGGGGGTGGCTGCAATGGGTTTTGTTTATTTTTTTTTCTTTTTTTTTTTCCTTTTTATTTTTTTTACATTAGGCCAATCATGTGCTAACATGTGGCATTTAAAAAAAAAAAAAAAAAAATTTACCCTTTTAGCAGGTAACCGATTTTTGGGACTGTTGTAGGAAAACTAAGGGCATAGTTAGGATTGTTAAAAAATAAATCTTAGTTGGGATTGTTAGAAGTAAATCAGCGATAGTTGGGATTATTAAAGTGTATTTTTCCTAAAAAAATGGTGTAATAAAAAATTAATAGTGGAAGATGACATGTGGCACTATGGTTAGAGAAGTGTAATAGAATGGATGGAGACATGTGTCTTTCTTAGTTTCTTGGTTATAGTTTTTAAATACTAAGTATAGAGTATAGATAGATATAGATTAACAGTTTCCCATACACCTATAATCTAGAAAACACAATGGATTCCTTCCTACCCTTTTCTATTCAACATTCCAAATTTGGATAAACATGGTGCATGAATAAACACAAATATCAGTTAATCTTCTTTTACATTCTTTACCTGCAACATTTCATTTTATTTCTTTTTGCTTAAATTAGAAATTAAAATAAATTTGTGTCTGACATTTCTCAAGTGGGATTAATTGGGAATTATCATTGAAAGATATGTGTCTACTTTTAACTTGACTAGGGTTGCACACGCACGCGTTGCGCGCAAAGCAATGTAGTGATGCTAGTGAGTGAGGCCGAAAGTGTGACTTTTTTGGCCAGTATGTTTTGCGATTTTATTTAGACTATGTTATTGGGTGTTTATTGTTTAAATCTCATATTAGTTTGTTTATAACGATTTTTATACACAATAACACAAGTTAATAGCACTACAGTCAATAGCAAATTAACATATACGAAGTAAGTGATTACCCAAAAAAAAAACTAAGCTCAAAATAAGGAATGTTCCTTGTCAATATCGCACGTATTCTAAAACATTAAAGCTACTTGATAAAGAACATTTATCTAAATTTCAAATATTTAGACAAAATTGTAAAATAAATTAAAATAAGGATATTTAAATAAAGAAGTCAATCAAGAAGTATTCTGCTACACGTTTGCCGGCACTTGCGTCCACTGCATCAATTTTTTCAAATAATTCAGCAAAAGGTGCTCTACTGCTCTTCATCAACAAGTTGACTAAAGATCAATAACCAAAAAGATAAAATTAAATTTTAAAAAAAAGCCCAAACAATCAATTTCAATAACAGGAAAATTAAAAGTAAAAAAATTAGAAATTTAAGATACTTAGCATAGCCGCCTCTCCTAGTATTATCCCTTTCCTTTCTTCTCCTCATATATACCACCTCAAAAATAAACAACAAAGATCAGTAAAAAGGAGTTTTAAAAAAATATTATAGAAAGGAGTACCACCTCAAAAATAAACAACAAAGATCAGTAAAAAGGAGTTTTAAAAAAATACTATAGAAAGGAGCAAACATATTTAAGCAAATACAATAATTTGATAACCCAACATGCATGCTAATCCCCAAACTGAAAACATGAGTTTCTAATTAACAAGCAAATCAATTTTAGCTGAAACAATCAAAATGATGTGTTAAGAGACTTAAGACCATGAATCAATCAAATTTGGAATTGTTCATGTTTGCTTTTATCCATTATCAGGGGTAATCCTTAGATAGTATAAAGAATGTTTTCTCCCAAATAAATAAAAATGAATACAAACCAGTAAAAGAGTGAGGAACTTGAAGAGCAACAACAAGATCTCCAAGGATAACAACACCAGAACACCAGGAAATACTTACATATTTACATGGAAGTTCTGGCAACTCAAAAGTGACGCATGAGTTTAAACACGAATGAGGATTTTATCAAAAGGCAAGCTTAATCTAAATTTGGTGCACATCAATTCCCACATACAATAAAAATAGATAATAATGACTTCAAGAAATACACAAATATACATCTAAATTAAAAATGGCATGTTAGGATCTAAAATAAGAATATGATGAGGGTTAGTCTCTTATATTGTTTCCTATGAGTACACGATAACAATTCCTTGGTAGTGTGTTCTTATTTCTTTGGCTGGCACTTCATTACTTAATAAATGCAATCAGGCCCAACTCCAAGTTTGTAACTTTGTAAATGACGAAAAAAGAAAAACAAACACACTAACCACCAAACCAAAATACCATATCACAATAATACAAAATTCATTTATTTATCAGAAGAAAATATGGTACTCTATTCACAAAATGCTTAATTTAGTAATGTAATCAAATTATGAAGTCCTAATAAATCCTTGTTTAGATGACAAACAATTAAGAGTTATACATAAATAAATGATTTTAGTGGTTTATTATGAAATGTAATCAAATTATGAAGTCATAGGAAAGAATAAAGGTTGAGTTCAGACTAATTAAATCTGCAAAATTGATATTCGATAATTTAAAGAATATAAAGAAAAATTTACCTCAGATACTGCTTCAATGGAGGAGAGAACAAGGTATTCAAGAACAGCAACTAAGTAAACAAGGGGCACTTACTCTTATTGCAACTAATTTCAGAAGGTGCAGCTAATTTCAGATAGACAATCTACTATCTTCAACAGCTAATAACAAACCATTGAAGATAATGTTTTTTTTTCTTTCAGAACCATCTTGCAAGAACCATTCTCTCTCTCTCTCTCTCTCTCTCTCTCTTTTTTTAAAAAAACCTGCAAGAAGCATTCTAAGCAAATGCATAATTAAGCTAAAGTTTAGGCATTTTTAGCAAATCAATAAACAGAAGCCAAGCAATAAACACAATGTCACACTAATTAAGCAATCAAAATCATTCGTTTCATCTCCAAACTAAGACAGAACCTAATTCCTTCATCAATCACATAATTTAACCACAACATTCATTTTTACAAACCAAACTCTAGAAAATAAACAAATCAACCCAATGTCACACAATAACCAAGATCAAATCTTTCACTCTCAAAAACCAATCTTTATGCAAGAAAACTACATATTTTACCATTAATTGACAGAATTAAACAAATATCTGAAGCAATCTTTACAGTATAATTCAACAATCAAAACTACATATTTTACCATTAATTGACAAAACCCAATTCAGACACAAAAGTACAAAACCCATATAAAATATATAGATAAAAATAAAAGTATAATCTACAATCTTTACCCCTTAAAATCAACAATCAAAAGGCTTGAACAATCAGGAAAAAAACAACAAAAGAAATGTACCTATTGCGTTCATAAAGAGGGAAATCCCTGATCTTAGCGAATTTCTTATCAGCTTTATCAACGAAAGACCAGTAAATTTCAATCATGCCACTATTGTGCTAGCCATTTTACAGTATAATTCTCTTCTTTCTCTCTCCTCATCAGACTCAATTAACCACCCGGAAAAGGGTCTAAGAGATAGAGGAAGGAGAAGCCTCCTACAAGTAATTCAACAAACCCACAATTAAAATTTTAGAAAACAATTAAAATGAATACAAGCAAGTAGAAGAGTGAAGAACATGAATAGCAACAACAAGATCTCGAGGTTAAGCAAGGTCATCAATACTTAAAGCCAGCCTAAAAAAGGAAAATAATTAACCTTCAATAGCTTCTCTGGGAGTCTTGAAACCCAAACTAATGCTCTTCCAGATCCTGTTTCCTCCTTCCTCGTGATCGCTTTCTCTTTCCAGCTTTCTTCAAGCTGCAATTTCCATAATATTATTAAAATAGAATAATTTAACTTAAATATCTAACAATTTTAGCATTTTACAGAGTTGGATGATTACCTCAGAAATACTTTAGGCTGCTTCAAGGCCTTCTCGGTCTGTTTTACAAATAATGAAATGTAAATTAATTAAATGATAACATAAATACTATTTGTATAAGATTATATAATAAGATCGAAATACAGTTAATAGAAGTAAAAAGATTAAAATAGTACCTGTTCCGCCATGATTGAGTGGTTGTAAGATGAGGCTCAGAGGAAGCAATGGAGGCGCCACAGAGGAGAGAGAGTGAGAGAAAAGGAGAGAAGAAATTTAGGGTTTTTTGAATTCTAGAACATTATAATTGAAAGAAAAAAACTTTGAGGATGACAAAGCTCTCCCTGGCAACGCATGCATTAGCTCTTACAAGATAGAGAAAGCTGAGAGAGGAGAGAGGCAAAGAGGAAAGCAGGAAGCTGATGAGAAAGGAGCGAGGGATGCAGGAGGCTCATAGAAGGGTCACAATCAACTCACGGAAATAAATAAATAAATAAATAAAACAAAGCCACATAGCTTTCTCACACATGCACCCCACACATGTGAGCACTATTCATAAGGGGAACAAGTGAAACATTTTAAGGGTTGTAGATTAGTAGTTTGTTGTATTTTTTTTTTTTATTTATTTAAATTGAGTAGTTTTTATTTTGAAATATTTACGTTGCTAATTAGTTGGATTGTGAATTATATGAATCATATGATTTATATTAGCATTAGCTATTCAAAGAAAAAATAAAATTATTAGCATTATCTTTTCTCAATAGCGTTTATCTCACGTATTAGTATGTGAGTGTATATTACTTTAGCTATCCAAATACTTTTGTTATTTTTTTATGTTAATTGTTTGACACTCTTTTTATTTTTTATTTTGATGAAGTAGACGAATTATATACTACCTCCGTCACAGGTTATGTGCAACGATTTGACATAAATTAGAGAGGGAAAATGTCTAATCGTTGCACATAACATGTAATGGAGGTAGTATTAGTAGTCTGTCTTCAAAATAATTTTTTTATTTTTTTATTTTTTTGTAATGAAGTAGACAAATTGTATATTAGTATGTAGTCTGTCTTTCATAATGCTTCAAAACAAAGTATGTTTGTCAAAAAAAAAAAACAAAAAAACAAAGTATGTCTTTTAATACAATGAAACTAATAATTTTTCCTTTTTCTAATGTAGATGGATCCTCCAAAAGACTTTGACTTGAATATTGAATACTCAAATAGACAAGATGAAAATGAAATTGTGTTTAATTTAGAAGATAAATGTGATGGCTCCAATGATGAGTTTAATCTAAACTTTGACAATGGAGAAGACATAAATTTTGATGACGATGGAAGAGAACAAAATAGTGATAATTTGGACAACAGGATGCATGAAGATTTGTGTGATGGAGAAAAAAAATATCATTCCTCCATATGTTGGGATGGTGTTCGACTCCGCCGATGAAATTATTAATCATTGACATGAATATGGGCATTATGTTGGATTTCAAATAAGAATTAGAAGCTCCGAGAAAATAGAAAATTCAGAGCTTATGACTCTTGATTGTGTCATTGAACGAAATCGACATATACAAGACTATAGTGATTGTAAGAGATTGATGTTAGTTTGTTCAAAAGAGGGCAATTTTAAATCAAAGTCAAACAATCCTCAACGAGCAACTAAATCTAGTCTTACGGGATGTCAATTCAAGGAAAATGCATCACTTTGTTCCGATGGTTTATGAAAGTTAACTAACGTTCTCTTGGAGCATAATCATCCATGTAATCCAAATAATTCCAAATTTATGAGAAACTATAAATTTATTAGTGAGCAAAATAAGAGAATGATTCTGGAAAATGATACGGCAGGTGTTCCTATTGCCAAGAACTACAATTCATTTGTTGTGAAGTATGGTGGTCATAACAATGTTCCTTTTGATGAGAGGGATTGTCGTAATTTGATAAGTAAGACAAGAAGACTAAGTTTACAATATGGAGACTTTATTGCGATGAGGAGACATTTCTCCAAAATGATCAAGCAATTCAAATTTTTTTTACATGTATGACACCGATGAGAGTGGCTCATTGAAAAATGTCTTTTGGGCAGATGGTAGGAGTAGAGCGGCATACAAAGATTTTGGAAATGTTGTATCTTTTGATACTACTTATGTCTCAAATAGGTATAAGATGTCATTTGCTCCATTCATTGGAGTCAATAATCATGGTCAATCGATCCTTTTTGGTTGTATATTGTTGGCCGGAGAAGCGACTAATAACTTTGTGTGGTTGTTTAATGCATGAATGACATGCATGTCCGGAAAAGCTCCTAAGGTATCCTAACCGATCAATGTCAAGCAATGGATTAGTACGTATTTTAAATGTATTATACTTCCATAATAATTTGTGAGTTCTCTATATTTTTTTTGGGCTGTTAAGACATCATTATTAAATTATATGAACGTATAAGATGTAGGATAAAAGATTAAATAGTAACTTATTTTAGAAAATATATAAATGCTTCATTAATATTAAAAAAAAAAGGAAGAAGAAGATAACTACAAGTACTAACCACAAATTGAACATATCTGTATCAATTATCAAGCATTATTTTACGTTTGAAGATAAAAATTATCAAGATTTCATATGTATAAAAAAAATTAAATAAAAAAAGAAAAAGATAATGAAAGTCAAATTTAACATGTACGTATCTTTTTCTAGTACATTTTGTTTATATACCTAACATGATATAACTTGCTTAATAATTTTTTTAACGTATCATATATCATATGATAAGTAAAATATTATACTAGCGATTTTGGTTTGACTTAACGTATCATATTATAACGTGAACAATAGCGTAATGCCAACTTGTTTTTTTTTTTTGGTAAATTAATTGTGTTAATTTTGTAGGTAATGTCGTGGCCGAGGTTTTCCCAAATACTCGCCATAGATGGTGTTTATGACATGTAATGAGGAATGCAAAGAAACATCTCAATAAGCATCCCAAATGGGATGAAGTTCGTAAAGGATTAAGAAATGCTCTCCATGATTCACTTACCATTATATTATAGAGTTTGAAGAAGCGTGGCAAGATTGGGTCAAAATATTTAAGCTTGAAAAATATAATTGGTGCAAGGACATGTATGATTTAAGACATCGATGGGTACCAATATACTTCAAGGATACATTTTGGGCTGGCATGTCTAGCACTCAAAGGAGTGAGGGAATGAATTTCTTTTTCAAGGGATTTCTCAACATCAACACTACTCTTAAGCAATTTGTTGAGCAGTTTGGATTCGCACTGGCAAAAAGAGTAAAAGAAGAGGATAAAGAGACATTTATCTCTAGTGATTCATCACTACATTGTGCAACCGACCATACATTTGAACATGTGTTTCAAAAACTATACACATCAAAAAAATTATTTGAATTTCAACAAGTGAAAGACATGACTTACAACAATGCTACTAAAATTTTTGATGATGAGAAACAATGTGTGTATGATATCATAGTGAGGAGGAAGTGGTATGGTCGAACAAAACGCACTATTTTTCAAGTTACTATGGATAAGGAGACATTGGAAGTAAGATGTGATAGTGTAGACACCCATTTGTGTCTCCCCAAAACCAAACCCAGTGATGAGTACCTTTCACGTCGAATCATAATCGAATGAAACGAAAGTGTGGAAAGATCTAGTGTTGCGGAAAGTTTTTATTTCTTTTCTCTTCTCTCTGTTTTTGAAAACTTTATTTTAAAGAAAACAGTCAATCCGGTTTGGTTGGTCCATGACATGGGTCCAATAATAGTGTAGTTGGATGGGGCTTGCAAAGACCTTTCCAACGATATATTATAAGCCCAATTCCGATGAATATCGAGGAAGTTATGGCCAATTTACTAAACTGGGCCCGGTTTGAGCTTTATGTACAGCCCAATGATCTAGGGGAGGGCCTAATGTGATTTATCATTATTAATGCAATTAGGAATGGTTTTAGTCTTCTAGAATCTTCTAGAAGGTTCTTTTCATTCCTAATTCGATTAGCATTGATAAGTTGACTTTGTTGACTTTTCAGAGTTTTAATCAAAATCAAATAGCATTTTCGAAAAAATTATGTTATTTTATCCTCCAGTACGGTAAACTTATCAGATTTTCGAAAACGCGTTAAAATCAAGACTGGCGTCCAACCCCAGGCCTTGGCGCCTAGAACCAGGCTTGGCGCCAGACGCTAGCCATTGGCGCCTGGCGCTAGCTGTTGGTGCCTGGCGCCAGCTAGCCAGGGTTGGCGCCAGCTCTGTTTCCTGAGCGTCAGACTCTGTTTTGTTGAATTATCTTTTTTGGCTGATTTTCTCTATAAATATCATATCAAAAACTCTGTTTTCATTCATCATTCATCATCTACATCTATCATTCACCAATTCTCTTCATTCACAAGCTTTAATTAGCATTCTTTAAAACATTCATCTTTCTTTCTTACTTTGCTTTTTACATACAAAATTCCGCATTCACAAGATCTAGAAACACCTAGCCATATTCGAAGTTGCCTTCGCCCTAGACGTGAAAGGTTTAATTTCTGAGGGTTTGGTCCCAAATCTCTCTTTCAATTATTTAATTTAATTGCTTTGGTTATTATTTTTCCTTGAAGTTACTAACGTGTGTATTTTGTTATTAGAAAGAGGTACGAGGCATCAAAGTAAGTACTTTATTGATTAATTGATATTATGATGTAGATATCATGCTTAGATTGTTATTTTGATTCCTAGTATCATGTCTAGGGTAATTTTAATATTAAGTATGATTAAAAGTACGATGCTTCCTATATTCTTCCTAATATTTATGATCGTTAGTATCATGTTAGGGCTAAAGCTTTGATTTTTAATGCTTAGTGACATGCTAGGGTTTGTTATTAATCTTGTTAGTATCATGCCTAGGATCTTGCTATTATTATGTTTTAATATTAACATGAACATGATTATTATTATAATTGTTATAATTTATGATGATTATGAATATTATTATTATTATTTTGATGATGATTATTATTATTCATGTTTATTCTAATGATTGATTATTTATTATTATGTTGCTTGATATTTATTATTTATTGCTTGGTCACACCCTTTATTGCATGTTAAAGGGAATTGGTACTTGTAATCACGCTTAATAAGATATTAATAATCTTGTTAGGGTTAATTTTGATTATGATTTCCAGTGATCGCCAATAATAGTTTATTTGTGCATTAAATTCAACCAACATAAATAAACAGGTTTAGGGTTAAACCTATTGATTGTATGTTAATTAGAAAGCGCACATGAATACGATCAGAATAAAGTAGAGGCCTATTATTAGGGCAGGTTCAATCTCTTTTAGGTTGGATTTGTACCATCATCCCCGAACCCTTATTTGGTTCATGATCTTATGGAGTTGACGATCTCTTGGATCGTTAAGGGGTGTAACCTTCATCCTAAGAACGGTTTATAAGTTCCTTAAAAAAATTGTTGGCGACTCTTTTGCTCTATCTTCTTCCCTTTTGGACGCCACCGTACT